GTGGGGCTGGGTGGGCTTTAATGGCCCTTCCCACCCAAACCATTCCATGATTTATGAGTCGTCTGCCTTTGCCTACCTTTGCCTAAGTTGTTCTCACACAACACAGTTGCCCATGCTCCAACACCACACCAGCAGGTCGTTAATCCTTGGGTGTAGGACCATCCAAATAGGAGTCAGGATCAGCGCTCATCTTCACTGGGTGCTGTGGAGCCACTCATCTCCACTCTTTTCAAAGCAGACGCAGTTAGAAAGTGGTTTTGTTCAAAAGCAAGAGCAGAGAAATGTGTCACGTGCAGAAGTTGGCATCCATGGACTCAGCTTTTTTGGTGCAACCCTTGTGTGCTAGTATTTTTAATTTCAATGTATGTTCTCTCTTTTTCTTGAGAAATACACTTCTCAATTTCTTAAGTGCTCCTAAAATATTTTTTTCTAAAGAGAAGTTTAATGATTCATTAAAATTCTTATTGTTTCCATGTTCTTACAGCTTTAAAACAGACAAACTATTAGAAGTAGGGACAGAAGGAAAAAAAAGTGAGAGTTATTGCCTTTCAAAGACCAATAAAGGGATAAAATGCCCACTCCATTCACCTCTGGAACTCCAAACTCCAACACCTCTGATTTCAGACCTTCTCGTGGTTGGTCTTAGGGCAGACTAACTCACAAGGTTCTCAGAAGATGTGTGATGCCGCAGTCAGATTGAAAGGATCTGCCTTTCGAATGTAAATGCTGATGGGTGGCTCAATCTCTTAACTTTTATTCTTTTAAAGACAGTATTTTCTGTGTCTTGACTGAAGTAGTGTGACGCATCTTAGTGTATTTTACTTGTTTCCTCATTTTTTGTCTCTACGGACAGTTTTGTGCTGGGAACGCAGACGCAGTATCAGAAAGTGAAAAAGTCCTTGACCTGATATAAACATTGCTTGGCAACAACGGAAAACACGAGTGTTATCAATATTCTCATCACAACCAAAACACAGCCTCATAGTATCTGCTGTGAGGGGGATTCCCTTTATCCCAGCTAAAACCAGGTGTTAATCATTCACCTGAGGACCGCTTCCACGGAAGTGGAAACTTCACTTGGCTAAGCGGCTTTGGCTTTTCCCGTGGGAAATACTTCTCAGCCTTGTCCGATCCTTCACCTAGTTGTGTGGGAGAGCGTGTGTGTGCAGCTGTACCCATATAAAGATCCGTTTCAGGTAGTAAATTTTGCCCTAATAAGTTATCTCCTTTTTAAAAATCACATTTATTCTAAACGGAATTCAAAATAGTATCTCTCAAAAGTCGTTTTCATGGTTTGAAACAGGTTTAAATTCACCTTCACCAATAGTTTTCGAATGAAAAAGGATCTGTATTTGGGGGTTTAGCTGAATGAAAGTTACAGTCATTTATATTCACTTACCTTCTTCATAGAAAGACAGTCGTAAAGTGCAGCAGCATGTTAGAACCAGGGAAAACACCGGTATCGTTTTGGCTTAACCCAAATCTTTGTATATATTATGGCTGTGCCTAAGAGAGAAGAATCAGTGCAGCACCAATTGCTATTTTAATTCACTGTATGTGTCTTTCTACATCATCTGCTGGGCTTTGGCCGCTACAGAAAAAGCCATTTCCCTCTAATTTTGGCTCAGACCCATCTGTTTTCTGGTTTTGCTTGGTTTCCCGGTGCTGCTGCCGGCATGATGTGTCGGTACGGGCAGCGATGCTGAAGTCAGGTGCTCGGATCCCCGAGGAAGGGTGAGAAATGAGATGAAACTTTGCTACTTGCCCAGTGACTTGCCAAGGCTGAACAATGCTGGGAAAGGAAATGCATGGAAAACTCCGGGGCAGTTGAGGGGGTTTCTGTTGTTGGCTCCATCAATGTCTCGCTGAGGGACTCACAGGAAATCACGGGATTTTGTTCTTCTGATGAGCAAGTGCAACGGGCTGATGATGATAGGGCTGGGCTGGACAGGAATAGCCTCGATTTTATTCCAGGGTTTGCCTCCTGCTTGTTCCTGTGTGATCTACTCAAGGGGATCCTGCTCTGGCAAGGGGGGTTGGACCAGATGATCTCTGGAGGTCCCTTCCAACCCCCACCACTCTGTGAATCTGTGATGCGATCTTAGAAATTCTGCTATGCAGTTCTTGAAATTCTCAATTTTGCATTTCTTGAAATTCTGATTTTTACGTTTCTTGGAATTCTGAATTTACATTTCTTGAAATTCTGAATTTTGCATTTCTTGGAATTCTAAATTCTACATTTCGTGACATTTGGAATTTTGCACTTCTTGGAATTCTGAATTTTTCATTTCTTGATACTCTGAATTTACATTCCTTGAAATTCTGAATTTTGCATTTTTTGGAATTCTGAATTTCTTCATGCTACTCCTTCCATTCCTTCTGTTTAGATTGTTCAGTAATTTGGATCAGGATGGTGGTTTGCCGTGGATTTGTTAAAGCCTTGGCTCCACCGAGCAGCAAGCATGCCAGGATGCTGAAGTGAACCCAGCTGTCAGAAAACCTAAATTTTCATTCTGTTCTGAAGCCAGAAATCATGAAACTGTTGGTTGAAGTCTGATATTTATTTCATTTTGGAATTATCAAGATATTCTGCTTCCATAATAATATTCCTGTGATCTCTAACAAGTGCTGAGGGAAAATAGCCTCAGCTGAGGGGCCGGTGGGTTGTGTGTGTGTATCGCATCGGATTTGTCTATCACGTCCAGTTTAGTCACCAGCCAACGGGGCATCCAGGGCCTGCAGCCCAGGCATGTTCCTAATGTTAAAAATACTGTAAAGCGCTGGGTATTGTCTGGGTTTTTGCACTTTGAAAAGAATACAAACCAACTGACCCTAGGGTATCTGAAGTCAGCATAAACTAGTAGATGTTATTTCGACAGCACCAGCTTGTGAAAGTGGCTGTGCCTGTCGTTTTACCTCTCTAGAAAACTGTGTCCCGTCTCTTGGCTCACGCCGCATTCCCGCGGGCAAGGAAATGAAGAACTGGGCTGGTTTCTGCCTGGAGCAGCTTTGGGAGCCACCTGAGTAATTTGCGGATCAGGAAATAATGCGTTTGAGTCGTGGCGAGGAGTGAAACGTAATCTTGAAAGAATTCTGACCAGTGTGTGTTTATATCCTCAGATCATTAAGCTGAAAGCTGAAGCCCGTCTTGATCTCCTGAAGCAGATCGGTGTGTCCGTGGATACGTGGCTAAAAAGCGCCATGAACCAAGTGATGGAGGAGCTGGAAAACGAGCGCTGGGCCAGCCTGCCTTCAGTGACCAACAACGGCTCTTCGCACCTGGTAGGGATTCCAGCAGGGACACCTCGCCTCCGCGTTCCCTAGTAGCAACTCCTCACTGAGTATCTTGTAGGATTTACGGGTTCTGTTGCTGACTTTACTGCACGTGGATTTTTCTGACCTTGCCGAGGTGCCGTCACGTATGTTTGCCATCCCTTAAAAAGAAAAACGTCTGCGTGTTTCTTTGAAGTTTCATTGATAGTTTACGATGTTACAGAATCATGTCATCGTTACAGTTGGAAAAGCTCTTCAAGCCCACCCAGTCCCACTGTTAACCCCACCCTGCTCATCCCACCACGGACCCATGGCCCTGAGCACCTCGGCCACACGGCTCTGAAACCCCTCCCGGGGTGGGGACTCCCCCCTCCCTGGGCAGCCCCTTCCAACCCTGACAGCCCTTTCCGGGAAGGAATTTCCCCAATATCCCATCTAACCCTCCCCCGGCACAACTTGAGGCCATTTCCCTTGTCCCATCACTTGTCCCTTGGGAGAAGAGACCGACCCCCCTCTCTGCCCCCCCCTTTCAGGGAGCTGTAGGGAGCGATCAGGTCTGCCCTGAGCCTCCTCTTCTCCAGGCTGAACCCCCCCAGCTCCCTCAGCCGCTCCCCCAGGACTTGTGCTCCAGCCCCTTCCCAGCTCCATTCCCTTCTCCACACACGCTCCAGCCCCTCCGTGTCTTTCTTGCCGGGAGGCGCCCAAACTGTCCCCAGGATTCGAGGGGCGGCCTCCCCAGTGCCCAGCACAGGGGGACGATCCCTGCCCTGCTCCTGCTGGCCACACTGTCCCTGATGCTGGCCAGGATGCTGTTGGCCTCTTGGCCACCTGGGCTTTGGAAAAGAGGCCGGCCATCCCTGTGAGCAGGGTTAGATGTTTCCCTCAAAGAATTAATCATAGGTTTAGTTGTTACCACTGTTCACCTGCAAGTTACTGCCCTGTCATTTAGAATCATAGAATCACAGAATGGTTTGGGTTGGAAGGGACCTTAAAGATCATCTAGTTCCAACCCCCCTGCCATGGGCAGGGACACCTTGCACTAGACCAGGTTGCTCAAAGCCTCATCCAGCCTGGCCTTGAAGACATCCAGGGATTGAATTTGAGAGACAGTAAATAATTGACATTTTCTGTATGAATAATTCATTTCACTTAAAGCAGTAACAGAGTTAAATCGGAACAGAGCATAAACCTGGTCACTGCTGCTTTTCATCCAAACGCTCGGTAACTCAGGTTCAGTTGCGTGAGTATGTCTTGCCGTGTCTCAGGTCACACCGACTCCTGTGAAAATTTCAGTCAATACTCCCAAAACTGAATTAAAAAGCGACTTGGGTCAATGGGAGGTCGGTAACGACTTCTCACTCGCAGTACGTAAGACTAATTGTGTCTGTAGTGCCTGTGGCTGGTTTGCAGAATAGGCCAGAGACATCTCCCTTCGGCTTAGCTTGGGAGAAGGTGCGTTTTTATGTCATTCCAGAAGGAATAAAAAGCAAACTCTCATTTCTCTCCCCTCCAAAGAGTATGTTTCCAAAAAATCAGCGATAGCTGAGTCGAAGAGCTGCCTGAACCAAGAAACCCTGTCCAGAAAAGAGGAGCTCGTTATGCCCTTCCTGCCCTTACTTCCCTGCATGGCAGCGATGCTGAGCTGTCGCCTTGGGCACTACAACTCACCAATCTGCTCCTCTTCACCTGTAACCGCCTCAAAGAAAATTCCTCACCGTTTAGTCAACGTGCCTCGAAGAAATTCACAGTTTTTTGGGCGTGCTTACAGATTTCATATTTAACAAAATTCAGAGGCTTTTATAAAGTCTTGGTTTGAGTCGGGGGTACTTTCCGAACTGCAGTCCTCACACACTATTAAAATCACTTAATTCACACTTTCTTTTTAATCTTAAAGGTTTTGGACAGCCACAGTGTAGCTCCTGCATAATGAAACTTGCAGGGGGAGTGGGAATGTGGTTTTTCGTTGCCTCCAAACGGTTTGGAGAAGAGTTTTCTTTTGCTGACCACCTAGGAGAAACAAAATCTCCGTGTCAGCAAGTGTGTGCTGTCTACGCACAAAAAGTCCTGCTCGTTCCCGTATTTCTTCCTGCTTTTCTGCTTATTTGTTTTCTTGGCAATGGTGTCAAACCCTTAGAGGGTTTTTTTTTGGCTGGCTATTTTCATCTGTGTCATCTTTAGTGTGAATAAGTGAGTGACCACTGCAAGGATTCTCGGCAAATCCTGCAATTCCTGAGTCTGCTCTTCACTTTTTCAGGGTGTTTCTTCTCGGAGGTTACAGACAGCTCCGAAAGACAGTGATCTGTGGTGAAGGTGGTTGTAATCACTGCTCTGCGTAGCCTGGCGCTGCAGGCAGTGTTCCCATGGCTCACAGTATAATCAGAGATTAAAGTTGTTGTGTGCAGTTCCAAGCTTCAGCCTTCCCAAATCCCAAAGGAGTTCTTGTGCTGTTTCATAGAATCATAGAATCACAGACTGGTTTGGGTTGGAAGGGACCTTAAAGATCATCTAGTTCCAACCCCCTGCCATGGGCAGGGACACCTTCCATAGACCAGGTTGCTCCAAGCCTCATCCAGCCTGGCCTTGGACACTCCCAGGGATGGGGCATCCACAGCTTCTCTGGGCAAGCTGTCCCAGTGCTCCCCACCCTCTCCAGGAAGAATTTCTTCCTGATATCTAATCTAGACCTCCCCACTTTCAATTTAAACCCGTTACCCCTTGTCCTGTCACTACAGGCCCTTGGAAAAAGTCTCCCCCAGCTTCCTTGTAGCCCCTTCAGGTACTGGAAGGGGCTATAAGGTCTCCCCGGAGCCTTCCCTTCTCCAGGCTGCACAAGCCCAGCTCTCTCAGCCTTTCATCACAGCAGAGGTGCTCCAGCCCGCGGAGCATCTTCGTGGCCTCCTCTGGACTGGAATGAAAATGAGCGGGGATGATAGGATAGGGATGTGTTCTGAAAATCCGAACGTAAAACTGAATCCAAGTCTGAAAATTGTGAAGCTTTGTGCTCTTCTCCTCCAGGTCCTGAAGAACAAAGATGATCCAGAGCAGAGGTGTGGGGGCTGCTGGTTGAGGGAGGCTGCACGGTGCCTTTTTAGTCTCAGCCTAACTTTTTGCTGGTTTATCAGCCTTTCACTTTTCATCAGGAAGAGCAAATTCACTCCCACGTTAAAAGGAATAAGTAAAGGGAAGATGGCAGAGACACAATGGTGTTGCCTCTAATTCGAAGGACTTGCCTGTTTTCCCATGAGATAAAGTGTTTGTTCAGATTTTAAGGCAGGCACAAGGCCAGCGCACGGCTCGTGTCACTGGTGCCCAAACTACATTTATAGAAACTCGTGTGTTTCCACTGTGCTGACCTCAGGTTGTATTTAAACTTGTAGAGCTCGTTTTTAATCCACATTTTTCCTCTAAGGATGACTTTTTTTGTATAAGCTGCAGCAAGTCTATTGTACAGAATACACCAGCTGAAGGGCTTTTATTTTCTTTCAGCTTTTCAAATGTGAGTATTTCCACTGTAGTTTCATTTTATAACTCGTGGTCGCAGGCACATTAATCTTTTAGGAGCATAAATTCTCAATAAGCGACTCTTTTTTTCCCATGAAATGGTTGCTATTGCTCTGAAATGGCATTTCCAAAGCCACTGTTCCACAGCTCATGTAAAACATAGATTAACCGTCCAGCAGTTGAGTTGGAGCTTCCAAAATCATAATTTTGAAAGTCCACAGGCTTGAAGAAGTACAAGTCCACGGGCTTTCTGGAATGAAGAAATACAGCTGAGTTAAGCAGAGATGTGACAATTTGGTGACAGCTCTGTTCTTCTTCCCTGTATTTGCTCTGTGTGATGACACCTTTTCTGCTGTTACTTGAGAATTGATGCTGAATATTGGTTAGTTGTTGGGTCTTTGTCCAGTTTCAGTGATCATAAGTAGTAAAAACACACTGAAGAATATTGATCGATTAATTTTTATTGTTATTTCTTCATCATTTTATTGATTATTATTATCATCACCATCGTCACTTGATGGAATAATGCCGAATTCAATCTGTTTTAATAGATTCATGCTGATGCAGACAAGGAAGAAGGTGAAGAGTTTGAAGACAGCCTGGATGTTTTTGATGACAGTAGTTCCAGCCCTTCTGGCACTCTCAGAAATTATCCTCTCACCTGCAAAGTTGTTTATTCATACAAGGTTTGTCCTACTTCTTAAAGATTCGAGTAGAAAAAATGAATCACGCAAGAAACAAATCGTAGAGGTGACCGGTGGGAGTTTGAGGTAGAGTGTCAGCGTTTGGCTCAGCAACGGTGCACGTTAAATATTACCTTAACGTCGAGTTGTGAAAAACTGCGGCAGCGTAAAATCCACCCCGCTGCGATTTAAACTCCGGCGGGGCAGAGCGCTGGAGTCCGTGAAGGATGCAGCGATGCCCTTGCCTTGGCTTCAAGGACACCAGTCGTGTGCCTGCCGTTAGCAAACGTTCTCATTTCTGGTGCCCAGCCGGCCTGGCTGCCTTCGAAATCCGTGCTTCCGCGCCCTACGGCAAAGCTCTCCTCTGCAGGAGGAGGGGGAGGCTGCCACTCGTGGGTTAAAGCTTGGCTGTTGGGGTGCACTCGTGCCGCCGGGGCGGTTGTCAATCACACCGCGGCCGTGCCCGAAGCCGGTGGCAGACGTCGTCGCAGAGTAGGGATTCACTAGGGTTTCACAAGTCAGTCGGGTTGGAGGCGCTGGGTGGTATTCGAGGGGCTTCCGTCCATCCTCTCGAGGGAAAAAGGGTCTTGTGAATGTCGGGAGCTCTACAGAAGAACCTTGGTAATGGCTTTTAAAGTGTGCTGCATCCTGGTACATTCAGTTTTCTTAAAAACGCAAGTTTTACTAACAGGCTGGTTGGGAAGGTCTTTATGCTGCCTGGAAACACTTGTATTTTCTAATCTTCCCGGTGCATCCTTCAGGCTTCGCAGCCGGATGAACTGACCATAGAGGAACACGAGGTGTTAGAGGTTATCGAGGACGGAGACATGGAAGACTGGGTGAAGGTACCATTTCCCTGCGATTGTTTTGGTTTCGCTGTTACTTTTAGACACAGAACTTGGAACCTTTTCAGCGTAGTGTGGGAAAGCAGAGCGCCTGTGCTGTCGTTTCTTTACAGGCACGGAATAAAGCGGGCCAGGTGGGTTACGTGCCAGAGAAGTACCTGCAATTCCCGACGTCCAGCAGCCTGCTGAGTATGCTCCAGTCCCTCGCAGCCCTGGATAGTCGATCCCACACCTCCAATAACTCCACCGAGGCCGACTTGGTCTCGGGCGGGCTGAACGGAGACTCCAGCGGTAAATACCAGTCGATCGCTAAACTCTGTATTGGGCCTGTTCTCGACAGCGTTCTGCCTCGCGCCTTCGGGTGTCGCACGTGAGAATTCCTCATCTTTGACCTGTACCTGAGTACAGCTGCTCTCAGTGCTGTCTGCCTGGTGTCACATCTGCCTCACTTACCTGGCTGTCTCATAGAGGAGAGGGTAACTTTAATTGAAATTAAGGAAAACTGAAGTCGTTTGACTCGGTAATTAAAGAATTATTTAGGTTGGAAAAGGCCTTTAAGGTCATGGAGCCCAACTGTAGTCCTTACTCCTGTTGCCAAGCTCATGCCAATTACACTTGTGGGTTTCTTTTTTTCCCTCTTCCATTCTTCAGTCTGTTTCGTAAAAGCACTTTATGATTACGAGGGCCAGACGGATGACGAGCTGTCCTTCCCGGAAGGAGCGATCATCCGCATCTTGAACAAGGAAAACCAAGACGACGATGGCTTTTGGGAAGGAGAATTCAATGGGCGCGTTGGGGTGTTCCCGTCTGTATTGGTTGAAGAGCTCACGGCCTCAGAAAACGGAGAGACGCAGTGGATTGGAGATATCCAGGTGCGTAAGGAGTTGAGGTGCGGTACGTACGGTGCGAGCGAGCTCGAGCGGATTTGCAAGGCTGCAGAGGGCGGGCGCTTCTTTAGGGAGAAAGAAATCAGAGCCAAGTTCAGACAAAAAATCAGAACCAATTTAAGATGAAAAACCCCACCCCGAGCACTTACCTCTCAGTTTCTTACCCAGCCTGATAATTATCAACTGATATATTTTGGCAAATCTAAGAGATTTGGGAATAAAGGCAAGTATTTGGGTAGAAAGGAAATGAACCAAAAGAGAAAATTCACAGTCTGCCTCCTGTAATTAATTTGTGGCATAAACTTGAGACATCAAACTCCATGTGGCAAAAAGAGAATTACAGCCTCTCTCGGCCCTAATGTAACGTTTTCATAGTTAAATCTCTTCTGCGTCCTCTCGAGTTTTGAAGGGCAGAGAAGTGCCAAATACTGTATTACAGTAATTTTTGCAAAACTCTCCTCATTTCAGTAGAGTTCTGTAATCCTTGTGCCCTGTTAGAGTGTCAGACATGGTCTCACGTGGAATTGCGGTGCTAGAAACCGGGCTCCCACGTTCCCTACGGCGTAACTTCCCCGCTGGCTTTATCCTTCGATTCGAGATGCCCACGAAAGCTCAACATGGAAATGACACGTATGCAGTTGGGCTGGGACAAAACTCCTCGTCTTCAGGCTTTTGCGTGAATCCGCATGGAGAGGCACGCTTGGCCCAGTGACTTTTTTCAAATAACCTTCAAAAGCTCTGTCGAAATCACCTGGGAGAGGATAAAAATTTCTGCTCGGTGGCAACCTGTGATTTAAAAAACATATAATCACCGTTGGATATCTTGGCTCTCCTTCCCAAACGTGCCTAACGGCACTTTTGACGGATAGTTTTACTCCAGAGGGTGGTTCCTAGCGTACTGATGTGTCCGAGGGCTGAACTGCATCTCGGTGTGTGCGTAAAAACCACCGAGGGGTAAGGCTTTCTGCACCCCTCCCTCTCGTTAACACAGGTATCGCCCACTCCGAAGCCTAATAACGCCCTTCCGCCGCTGCCGCTGTACGACCAGCCTCCCACCAGTCCCTACCACAGTCCGGATAAAAGAGGTTCCCAGTACTTCCCCAGGTCACCCTCAACCAACGGTAAGAGATTTTCTGGTAGTAAACAGAGCCGTTTTGGCTAAAAGTTTGGTTTAAATTGGTCACATTTCACAGCGGGGGCTGGGGAAAGCGGCTTTTTTTGGAGGGTAAAGTTTATTCAGCCGCAGCGAGCGGCTGGTGTGTGAGGGGTTGGTGCTTCCTCTTTCAGAAAACAGCTTCACTTCGGAGTCTCCCGGGTTCTCCCAGCCTCCGCGAATTCCCCCCGAGACATCGTACGGCAAACTGCGACCTGTGAGTTGAAACCAAGCGCCGTTGTTTTTATTGGTGCTGCAGAGTCGTAGAGGCCAAGTCTGGGTTCGTGGGGGTGGGTACGTTCGAAGAATGATGCAGCACCCGATGGCTTGGCTCCCTGTGTTCTGCAGATCCAATCCCAAGGTACAAAAATGCGAAATCACAGATGGATGCTGTGAGGAAGGGTCCCCTTCGGTAGTACCATGGTGTGTCAGAAAGCTGTAGAACATGAGAGCTGG